TGTTTTTATTGAAGTACAAATGATTTATATTAATGCTTCATATGCACAGCATAATAATCCAGTATTTATACACATTATACAATGATCACAGTAAGCTGAGATAACATTTGCCATTATAGTTCCATACGTTTCTTTCTTATAAGAAATTTAAAGTTACTGATTTTAAAGACCGCTTTTATAAGTCCAATTTGAGAGGGTCTTCTTCCTTCCCAACCATACACAACACAAAATTAAGTCACTTATATGGCGATGGCTTGTTTCTGTCACAGGTTTGATTTCCTCTTTTTGAACTTGTGCAGTGGGGAGGCTGGAAAACCCACATCCAGTGAAATACTGACAGTGACGTAAGTGTGACTGGGTCTTTCACTCTGCCCAGAGAGCCAGACTGAGTCACGAGGGTTGTCTATTCCAGATGGCCCTTAAGGGAACAGGCGGGATAGCCCCCAGACTCTGGCTCCCCAGTGGGGGCTTCCCCCATGGCAGGAGGGCTGGATTTTATGAGAGGGTGGGGGAGGAGTGAGAGGGGGGCACAGGGCTTGGCATCTCAAGGCCCAAGGAGGGCACTCTGTCCAGGGGTCGTGAGTCAGGGCTTCAACTGCCCCAGCAAGGAGAGTTCTCAGCAGTAACTGATGTCAGTTTCTGATGCCAAGACCAACCCCCAGAGGGACACTGGGAATTTTCTTAGGGTTGTAACAATTCACTTTTCAAGGGCCCAGGGATGCGGGTGGGACCAGTTAAAGGCTAATCGTGAGGAGGACGAGGGAAGAGAGGCTAGAGTGGTGAGGGTTTAATTCCACTTAGCCTTGATTTTTTGTCTAGGGGGGGTTTGTAGTTGTTGTTGCAAAACAGAGCGGGTGCGCCTAACTTCTGACACTAGAACATGCCAGGTTAAGGCACCCCACAGGCCAACCCCTCTTTGGGGCACCGCAGGAGGGCAGGTTTAGTGCCCTGCTGGGAGATGCCAGCAGCTCACTACCTGCCTGTGCTGCTGAAGACGGCTCTGAAGATGACCCCACGTTTGTGCAAAAACGATCTTATAAACCATTACACAAAATGAAAACACCTCCCGTAGGCACTCTCCTCCCCTCCCACCCCACAGCAGTCACAAAGAGGTTGTTCCCAAAAATCACTCTGGAAATTTTTCAAACTGGTTAGGTACCATGAGGTCCTGTTTCACTTGGTTATTACGTAATAGCTCCCTCCTCACAGGCCTGTAGAACAGTGACTCAAAATTTCTATTCAAAATCTTCGAAACTAGGACTCTTGTACTTTTTGTTTTTCTTGCTTTGAGTGTGCCCAGAAGAAAGGTCTCCCGAAACTCTGCTGGTGGGATGTGGGGAACTATGGGAGAGCCCTCCTGCCTGGTAGCTCCTCACCTTGTTAAGGGGAATGATGTCCTAAAAGAACTCTACAGAGTCTTGTGGACTCCACTCCTACTTCAGTGGTTGGAAACTACAACTCCCAGCAGCACCAGGGAGAGAACTGCGAGGACCCAAGGGCGGAGCTAAGCAGGCATTCTGGGACTTTGGGGGATAAACAGAGAGCCATTTTCCAACTCTCGCTCTGGAGAGGTAACGGTTCTCTCTCTCTGGAGCAACTGCTCTGACCGTGTGACCGGGGCTAGGAGCGTTAGTTTGGGACTAGAGCTCCCAGTTAGCCACCCTGGTAAAGGATTCCAGCTACTGTGTAGCCCTCTCTCCTTCCCTGGGTTGGTTCCTTTTCCTTTCCCCTTTTGTAAATGAACCCACTACCCTTTCTGTGTGTGCCTGCACACGGGTGAGGCCCCACAGACAGGCAGCCCAGTCCACTCTGGGCTACCCTGTAACAACCTGAGTCTTTCTACCTACTGTGTAATATTTCTCCTGGCATCCTGGCACCCTCGGAACTTGGGGGTTGCACAGTCCAATCTCCTCATTCCCCTGTTTTGTAAATGGAGAAAATAAGGCTCAGAGGCTGTGCAGAGAGGTGAGATCACAGAGTGACATATGGAAGTCACACCTGAGTCCCCATTCTTGTATTGTTTGCTACATGACAGCTTCAAAGCTTCAAAGCCTTCCCCCACCCCTACAAGAATTGTAGTCACATTTAGGACATTTAGAAACAGCATACATTGTACTTTCTAAATTGTTAAGTTGGATCCTCAGGTTTCTATGCCTTGTTTTACCCCGAGGCCTGGAAGCATTATTGCATCTGTTCCCTTTCTTGTTTTTAAAGCGTAAGATATGGCACTGAGATTTTATGTTCTTCCTTCATACAGAATGGCTCCTCTTAGTTGCCTGACTGACACTAGCATGATTTCCATTTGCGGGTCTGTTGTCTTTCCTAGAACTGAGGAGGCCTGGAGGGGCAACTCAGTGTGGAGGCCACAGAATGCCACCTTTGAGGTACCCAAGCTGCCTCCCTCCTCCTTTCCCAACCTGCTGTCCCTTTCTTTTCCTGAAGCTCTGGAAAATACTGCTACAGGCCTGCTGAATGTCTTCCTTTCCTCTACCATGGCCTCATATGTTTATTTCCCAGAAATCTGGCTGCCCTGGGCCACCCCCTGAGAACCTCAGGTGAACTTAGTCCCTGCTCTGGGAGCAGAAGCATTAAAATGTAGGAGAGTAGAGCAAAAGGCAAGGCTTTCCCTCCAAGGTACAGCTTGGAACATGTAAACAGGCTCTGAGTGACACTATCACGCTGTTCCCTACCACCCCTTACCCCATTCGCAGTCTCTGCATAGATGGCATCTCCAGGAGAAGCCAATCACTGCAGGGGAGAGAACCCTGGAGGAATCTGTTAGTCCAAGTGCATCGGATGTGTTCTGGACTCATCTGGCGAGATAACCATTCCCCAAGTCAACATCTGACCCGGAAGTGTCACTTGTATTGGAAGAAACATCTTCAGACCAGAGGCCCTCCCCAGAGGTCCCTGTCCCTTCTTCGCCGGTCACCAGTGGGCTAGATTCTATTTCCTCAGGATCCTCTGGGTTGACTGTGTTTCCTGGAAGAGTTAACATTTGAGGGACTTCAGAGTTGTCCAGGGCCCTCATACACACAGAATTTAGATTAACATTGAAGACAACTCGGTTCCCAGAATGCTCAGGGGAGCTGCTGGTCTCCTGGAATAAGGGGTGCTGTGGCAGACTCTCTGGGCCCTCGGGGGTCCCTCCTGGGCATTCTGGCTGCCAGGTGCTGGACCCTGGGGCCAAGAGGGGCTCTGTGTCAGCCTCAGGCTCGGATAGGTCAGAGTCCTTGGGTTCCTCAGTGTCGGGGTCCATGTGTTCCTCTGAGGCCTCTGAGGAGGTGGGTGCCAGACAGAGCAGCCGTCCTGTGAGCCCGTGCATGGTGTAATCCCCCGCGCTGGCTCGGGGGGCTGCTTCCGTGTCGCTATCACTTTCATCATAGTTATAGCCCCCCACTCTCTTCTTTCTTTGGACAATAATGACCTCCACTTTGTCTATTGTTTCTGATGGCGGCAGTTTCAGAAATATCCAGGATGACAAGTTTTGCTTTAAAAGACAAAAAGACAGAGAGTAGAGAGTTTACATCAATTTGGAGTGTTTTTTGTTTTGATATCATAAAACTTCATGAGACTAAGTACACACTGGTGAGGTGGTGATGACTACGGTAAGGCTTATGGTGACACTATGGTTGCTGTTTTACCCTCACAACCAGTCCATGAAGTCAGTTTACTACTCTCACCCCCACTTTTTAGGTGGGAAGTTGAGACAGAGGTGAAGAAACTGCCCAAAGCTCAGGAAGAGGAAGCAGTAGAGTTGGGATTTGCCGGCAGTGGATACTATGTCCTGCCAGTTTCTTTCCTGTGTCTCTCACTGCTTCTGTCAGTCAGGGGACCCTCCCATCTAGGCTGGGTAGATTTCAACTCTGGATTTATCAGACATTCTTCAGGGTGGTAAGAAGTGTGGATGAGGAGGCTCTAGGAGCTGATTCTGAAGGATCAACCCTCTCCGGCTCAGTGAAGGCCTTCAAGATGCAGATGGCTTCTAAAGGGTCAGGGGTGAAAGAACAGGGGTGAAAAGAGCAGGGAGTATGGAGCTCACTCTGTTCCAGTCCTTAGGGAAAAAAATCCACCCAAGCTGAATAGAAATGTTCGAGATAAGGAGAATAGGAAGCAGTTTGAGTTTTACCCTGGTGGATAAAACAGAAGCTGGTGGGTTCTGTTTCCAGGCAGGCTACAATGGGCCAGAGGTGAGGAGGGAGGTCACAGGTCCCACTCACACATTAGTAAGCAACATTTTGGTTCACCTTCCTATTCTACTCCTGCACATAATTAGACAAATCTACTCTTCCCCTATTCTAGCCAGATAGAGCCTTGGGGTCTATTTCTATTGGGTTGTTCATTTTTGTTCTTACTGAGTCACAGGAGCTTGTTATATAAACTAGATGATAGTTATTTGTTGATTTTTAATGTCCATACATTCTGCCCCCTAATCTGTGGTTTATCTTTTTACTTGCTTTATGGTGACATTTGAAGAAAACAACTTCTTCATTTTTTTATTTTTATTAAACAAAATTTTTTTAAAAAGATTTATTTATTTGTACATACAGAACTGGGGTATAGGCCAGAGGCTCAGGGGCGGTGAGAGGCTTCACCAGAGACAGAGTGGGGAGCAGAACAGGCAGATGGACGAAGTACACTGCTGAGGGGAGCAGCGGGCGGGTCAGGAGAGGTCTGCCGCGCCATGTGGGTCACCTCCGGGGCAGGCGGGAATAGAACTCATGCGGAAGTGGCTTCAGCTTCTCAGTGCAGTGCTTTAACGCGCTGCGCCTCCAGGGAGGGCCCCAACTTCTTCATTTTAACAAGAAAATGTATCAATTTCTTTCTTATGCCTTTTAATTTTTTTTTTTTGTCAGAATCTTCCTTACCCCTAAGTTATAGAGAATCTCCTATATGTTCTTCTAAAATCTTGTCAATTTTTCCTTTTACATTATGGTCTTTAATAACCTAGAACTGATATTTGTGTATGGTGTATGGTCCTATTTAATTTCCACAGATATCATTAACTGACTAGTTAATTCATACCCTCTGCAATTCCTACTCCACTTTGTGTCAGTCTGTTTCAGGGCCCACTTGAATAAATTTTATTTAATGTCATTCATTAAAATTTGATAATTTTCTCTTTAAGGGGCTTGGAAGAAAGCTTCTGGTAGCTTTCTTCCTTAAATGCTTCAAAAATATTTTTATTACAATTGTAAAGGCATTTAAAAAAACGTATGATTTCATTTAACTGTATGATTCCGAGTTCAAAAAGCAGTAAAATTACTCTTCTGTCCATACTCAAAATAGTGGCCACCGTCCTTGGGAGTAGTGACCAGACAGTGTCAGAAGAGACTCCTGGGGTAGGTGGTTCTCTTTCTTCATTTGGTCATTAATTGGGTATGCTGAGTTTGTGCAAATCGACAGAGCTTTATGCAATGATTTGTGTAATTAATTTTTTGAATGTTAAAAGGCAGTTTCATGTTTATTTCCTAATTTGTTGTTTTATCAAAATAAAAATGCTTGTGCTTTTCATATCAAACAACCTCATTAAACTTATTAGTCCTAATAACTTATGTCTAGATTCACTGGCTAGGTGAAGTTTTTACCTAGCTAGTCATACAGTCTATAAATGATCTGTTTCTGCTCCCAATTCTCAGACTTTAAGCTCCATGAGGGCAGAGTTTTTGTATGCTTTGTTCACTTCTATATCTTTAGCAGCTAGAATGTGTGAACATATGATAAATGCTCAATAAATAGTTGCTAAATGCAAAAGAAATCACTCAGAAGTCTCAACACACACACAAACACAAACACACTAATGAGTGTTTTGTGTTACTATTCCTAGAGCTCATACTTAAACACAGAACAAACATTTTTAATGGAGAAACCCTAGGCAAACACAAAGTAATGCCTGGGATTACTTAGGGTTAACACAGTGACAGGAATGTCTGTCATTGGAGTATCATTTGAAGGAAACTTAGGGAGACCTGGAAGGAGGGATATTAATGAGTTTAGGGAATTCAGACAGAAGATTTATCTGGGGATGGGGTGGGTATGGCTAAGGATCTTTGTATCTTGAGACTAGCTGAGAAGTATGAGGCGGAATGCGATTTACCCAAGACCTCAAGGCGCGGCAGAGAGGAAGTGCTGCAATAAAGTCGAGAATATAGTTGCACGTGAACACCACTGTAAAGGACTGTAGCAAATATCTTATACTGCTAGATTCAAAATAAACCATCCATGCTCCTAAGACAGGGATCAGAGTGAGGAGGGCATCAGACACACCCAATGACAGCTAGGTTAAAAAACCAACTGTAATTAAAAGCTCCAAAGCACAACCCCCTCAAACAGTCCCCTCCTCCAACCCAATCTGAAAAAACAAGAAAAAGAGTACGATTTAATCAGCTGTGGAGGGATATTTAAATTTATGACTGTTAGACAATCTAGAATAAGTTCAGTCAGAAGAGTAAGATATTTCTGAATGAAAAATTCAAAACAAATACGGAAAGAAGCAATCGGGAAAGGGGAAATGATAAACGGTGGGCAAAAGCCACTGAGGCAAGAAATCTGAGGATGTTTCAGGGCTGTGTATGATCCAGCTGCAGATCCACGCTCTGCGCAGGATGTGTTCCAGCAACCACAGGGGACAAGGGAAGACCAGCAAAGTGGTGGGTTTCACTAACGACAAAGTAACACAGAAGAGAGCAAGTGCAGGGACTGCTGGTTATCTGTGTGATAAATGAGCTACAGCAGGAAAAATGACTGATCAGTGTCAGCAGAACTCTGGGGAGACATGAGCAATGGCATTAGAAGCTACTTCTTCATCCTTTGACAAGATAAGTCTGTTCGGTACATATGTCCCCTGAAGCAATCCGAAATAAAAAGATAACTTGCATAAAAATGTCCATTTGTGTTACTCATAATGGCTAAAGGAAGAAGGAAAAGAAAAAAAGTAATCAATCCAAATGCCCGGATTTAGGGGGAAATGATGCATTCATCCCAATGAAAAATATACGAACAAAGTATAAAAAGAAGCCAGAAAGGCTAACTATATATTTATAGAGATGGAAGAAAACCCAGAGAGAGAAAACATCTTGCTGTTTTTAGACGAAGGGATCTTTTTCTGTGAGGTATTTAAATAGATCATGAAAATCCTTAACTTAAGAGAGAGAAAATTTTAAAAAGACGTACCAAAACTTTGGGGAAATCATTTCGTAAGCAAATATAGCCAGTCCGTTTCAGTATTACTATGGTGCATATGACAATAACTGGTATTAAAAATGTAAAAATTATTCCTCCTATTTTTTCAGATTCCGATGATTCTGTTGAGGAAAAATTAAATGGCGTCATTTCAAAATAAATGTAGTAAACAATGGCAGATGTAAATAAATGCAGATGGTCTGCCGGAGGAAGGGGCGAGGCATGGGAGCAAAAGATGGAGGGTCTATTTTTAACACAAAAGAATGCAGAGTAGCCATGTGCACTTTTTAAAAATGGATCGAGTTTTGCAAAGTGAAATTTCCAGTTTGCAAATATGTTCCATCATCCCACTGTCCAGTGTGGTAGCCATTAGCCACACATGACTATTTAACTAGAAATGATCAAAACTGAAAACACAATCGCTTAGTTTCTTAGCCACGCGAGAAGCATCTCCAATGCTGTCAGCAAATTCCAGGCAGGCAGATGTGGAGAAGGGGTCTCTGCCAGGCAAGCAACGGGTGCGGGCCATACCGGCACCCAAAACCACAGCTCCACAAAGCTCCCTTTGGCCTGTGCTTACGACACCCAAAACCCCTTTCGGAAAGTGGCGACCTTCTGACTTCCTTTCTTCCATAAGTCCAGGCAATGGAGGAGAAATACATAGCTGCCTCACTATGACTTTCTGAAATTTCCAGGAAGAGCTTTATTAATCTTGTAATCAGAGCCTTGGGCAACATTGGCAATAAATACGCCTTACATAATTTAAAAGTCTTCTGGAAGGTTCAGGAATGTCAACTCAGGGTTAAAGCAAGAAACCCAATAAGGGCCCTTGTGCATCTGGACAACATAACCCCGGGACCCTGCTGCTGGCTCATCAGTGGCGCTTACAGAATCAGATTGGCACAACTTTTACACACAAAGCTTCCTCCACTGAAAAATATACTGTGAACCTAGATGATGTCATAGGATACAGACCCAAGTGTCCCCAGCCAGCCCGTCCGCTCCAGCAATCCCAGGCCAGAATTCCCATTTTAGACTCTGCTTTGAGAGGTCATAAACCCAGACGCCACCCTGACTTGAGAAGCACCCCCCACCCTCTGCCTGACAGCACCTTCACCCCATTCTTGCTGTTTTCTCCATGGCGGATACCATCACTTAATATATTAATCTCTTATTTAAAAAAAAATCTTTGCATCCCCTCTCCCAAATGCAGTGTAAGTTCCACAAGATAAGGATTTCTTTGTATCATACACTTTTCTTTTTTGGCAAAACAGTTGCAGACCTAGCGAGTTTCTGAGAAAATAACCAGGAGCGAGTGTTCCTAAGCCTGACTGTTCTCACGGCCTGTCTCTCCATCCCCGGAAGGCTCGGGGCTGCACTTCACTGCTCCGTCCACGACCGTCCCGTCCACCCTCGTGAGTGTCCCTCTATGCCTGTCTGCTTGGGGCCAGGTCACAACACCCAAGGTAGGGGCAAGGTTTCACCCTCACACCCTGCGGCACCAGTTTCCAGGAGCCTGCCTCCTGCAGCATGTGGGACAGCGTTTCACCCCCCCACTCATCGGGACAAGGTTTCAGGGGTACCCAGCCCCTCCGAGGGTTGATATCTGATGGCACCTGCAGTGTGGAGAAAGTGACTCCACCCTAGAGTAGAGAAGACCAATGGAAATCTCCTCTGCAAGGCACCTTTGGAGCAAGCAATACTTTAGGGTTCTGAGTCTTCAGGCTTTTGTCTTTAAATTGGCTCCCCTGCCCCACACTCCCCAGAGTAAAAGCAAACAATGAATCTTAAAACACTGTCTTACCTTTAGGTGGAAGGAGGATACATTTGAAGGGAGATTTAATGGTTGATTTTGGATCCGGATAACTTTGCTCAAAATAAACGGAGATACAGTAGTTTGTGTTTGGAGTTAACTGGTCAATGACGTGAGTGAAATTTCCAGTGTGGTTTTGATATATTTGTAGTTTGTGCTGGAAAAAAATGAGCAAAAAACAAATCAGTTTGACTTTGAGTGAGAATTTCATTGGACGGCAGGCTCAAAGAAACTCTTTGGAAACTTATACAGGGGTAGAAATACCATAGACTGATTTCATGCTCCTGGCAAAAAAAAAAAAAAAAAAAAGGAAAACAAAAAAAAGGAAAACAAAGAAACAGTGTAACCGTAGCAAGAAAAAGTATGTCAGCTGGCACAATCCTATTTGTCCCCTCAATACTTCAAACCATGAAATCTAGTCTCACAACTTCATTTTATAAATGAGAGTAATTACCAATGAGAAGTAAGAGTTCATGGTGTTATCTTATCTTACAATAAAAACTAGGAAAACGAAAAAATAAGGGGCCGTGTTTCACTAATGATACGCACTAGCTTACACGTCAGATCAAGTAATCAACTCACTCAGTTGATTATAACAGAAGTCTGCAAAGTAGGCATCCTCCCCATGTCCCAGATGGCCAGCAGTGGCTCTGAGAGGCCACGTGGCTTCTCCAGGGCTGTGTCAGACCATGAAATCGTGTGTCAGAGGGAGTCCAATCTCTGGGCACCTGGCTGATGTCGGAGAACTGGAGAGGTGATGCGATGCTGAGTCCTCTCTGGCAGCCCTGAGGCTGCTCAACAGTTCTCTCTTTTCCTCCTTAAAAACTTCCACCTTGCCTCTTTCCCAGCTAGTTCTGTTCCACTTGGGAATGAAAGCGATAGGAAGGTTCTTCCATGAAAAACCAGTTTGGTATAATTTTTTTTAAAGATTTATTTATGTGTGCATGTAGAATTGGGGTACATGCAAGAGGTGCAGGCTTCACCAGAGACAGAGTGGGGAACAGAACAGGCAGATCAATGAAGTACACTGCTGAGGGGAGCAGCGGGGAGACAGGAGAGGTCTGCCACGCCATGTGGGTCACCTCCGGGGTGGGGATGAAACGCGCACTGAAGCAGCTATAGTTCGCCTGCAGTGCTGCGTCCTTACCTGCTGCACCACCAGGGAGGGCTGGCATAGAGTTTTATAGCTTTCAAAATACATTTTTACTAGTAGTTTTATAAATCAGGATTTCTAGTGGTTCAAATGCAAACTTCTAATGATTTTCTGCAAGCGTCTATTTGGAAGGAGACATTATTGGAGAAGAAGGAAAAAAAAAAAAGCCAAATACCCATCAATAGCTTAGTGCTCAGCATAGCAGACAGGCAAAGACCAAACGACGGAGGTGGAGTCTGTGGAGTGTGGAACGGTGCTCGCTGCTTCCAGCTGGAATAGGCTCAGGAGAGCACGTGATTGATGATCCAGACCCTTCGATACCTGGATCACCTGAGGAGCTGACACTCAGGTGCTTCAGGAAGGCCAGGAGGGGTCAGAATTTCCCTTCCGTAGAAAGGTTTGTCCCAGCACGCTGACATGTATCTGTTCTCCCTGTCTACACCATACGCCTCTCGCTCTTCCTTGTGTCCCTAGATGTGGCTCATTCTTCGAAAGAATACAATGTATTTCCCCCACGAATGAACTAGAGAGTTCTTTCTTGCAGTCACACCACATTGGCTGAGGCCTTTTGATTTTCATTGTTCAGATCGTTACAGCTGTCTTTAAAAAGCAAGAGAGTCAAATGTCTTCGCTGCCAACCCAGACCTGTTCTAACCACCTACCTTCTTAACAATCCCCTCCGACTGCTCTTCTGAGACAAGAGGTGCATTGAACCGTAACTCGTCGATGATGTGGGAGGCCCTGGGTGGAATATTTAGGAGGACGTTGATGTGGTCAGTGAAACCAACAATCTCAAACTGTGGTGGTTCCAAGGACACTGTTTAGAAAACAAAGTCAGAAGCAGACCAGTGTCAATCTCTGATGGTCTAAAGAGGGTCGAGTGGCATGAGAAAGCTGACTTCTTGACAGCCTTCTGCTCTGAAATATTTTCGGATGGGTGAAAAACTGAAAACAGCAAAAGTGAAGTGATTTGCTTACTATTACCACAAGAAATGGTGGGCAGATTCTGGCATGAGAGTCATCTCTTCCCAATTTTCAGGATAAGAATCCTAAGCACCAAAGTAAAATTGACTTCCGGTTACCGTAATCACACCTAACCACTGCAGAAATATCAGAAACACAGAGAGGCAGAAATATGAGAAACAGAGAGGCACTGAGTGGCTCTACTGTGAGTTCACTGACTTAACTGTTTTGAACACGTAATTTTCCGAATAGTCTACGTACCAATGAGTATTCTTGGAGTTAGACCTTTTCATTTGTCCATTTTGATTTCTTTAGGATAAATTACTACAGAGGAATTTTGGAGAATTAAGATTTTTCATACAGGCAGTCAAATACCTTTAGAAAGTTGTTTCAAAGTCCACTCCCTGCATTTCATCTAAACCTAGATACTTACACATTTTAAATACTTACCATTTGAGCCTTGAAAAGTGCTATCTCATCCCTTCTGGACTGTATTTTCCTTATATCTGGAGGATCTCTAAGTGCTCTTTTGTGGACACACACTGACATGTCTTTGTGGACAGTGATAGAAAATGCACACAGCTCTGGTGAGTCTCAGGTATCTGAGTCACAGCTCCCGTGCATGCGAGCAGCTACTGTTACTTTGCTAAGCATGTGCATGTGAGTATTTAATGAAGAGCTAGAAACCAAATCTTCCTCATGGAAGAAGGTTGTGAGGACACAGAAGAAGTGTGGAGTCTGGCTGAGACACACAGAAGAAGTGTAGAGTCAGGTCCCTGGAGCTATTAACACAAGTGCCATCAGGGTAATGTCTTAGGGACGAAGGAAAGAGCAGGTCCTCGCTGGGGATCCAGCCTGCCCCAGTCTGGGCCCTGGAGCTGGACACTGACTTGTGCAGAGCTACTGGGTTACCTTGGGAAGGGCCCTCAGCATTAAGGAAAGTGGTGGCTCCATCATGGCAGCTCAGATACAGGCCACCCATGCCCACTTCCTGGCAATGAAACAAACCGAGGTAGCAGTCATCACTGCCTGGAATGCGTGAGAGTCAAATGGGGAATCACCTACAAACGTCCGGTGGCCAATGCGCTTTTTGGATAAGAAAACTGGATAGGAAGAAGCAAGGCAACTTCTCCCTGTCCAGAGCTAGGAGCAGCAGCAGTAGCGGCGAAGCTGGTCTCACGTCTAAAGCACCTGGCTTTCCTATGTCATGGAAGAGCTAAGGATGATGGATGTGGTGATGATGAACAGAAAGCGACTCACTCTGGGTTGCCAGATTGAACTGGCCCAGACAGGGGCCCAGTGCTCTGTTTCCCTGGACGCCAACGACTTTAGGGATGTAGGTCTCACTCATGTCCACCCAGACTTTTGATAGGTCGCAAAATGATCTCGATGTGTTCTCACAGCTCGTAACAGTTATCATGTCTTCGTCTTTACTTTGAGAGGAAAAGAAACAGTAAGGAAAACGTGAGCATCATGGCGAGAACACACTGGTGGGCCCTCACCCCATCTGCCCACTCCCTCCCTCCCTCCCATGCCCTGTGTGTGTTGTTCTTCACACCTTTACCACCACCTGCCATATTGCATCTCAGCGTGTCTCTCCACACTGCTTCCTCCTGCCAGGTCTGCTCACGGGGTATGCACTTTGGCTTATGGGTGAACCCTGGCTGTAGTTGGTGCCCAGTAAGTTGCTGGATGAATGAATGAAAAAGTCTTGGGTTTTCCTAGTAGAGCCCCAGATTCCCCTGCCCCCTGATAATCAGGACCACCCTTCCTGAGCCCGCTCCCATCACCTTCTCCCAGACCCAAGCCCAGGTGACCCAGTCCTAAGTCAGCTACCAAGGTAAAATATAGAGAGCAGACCTGGGGCTTCGCATTGGTAATGCAGGGGGCTGTCTATCACTGACAGAAACCTGAGACTTTGGTAGGCACCAAAGATGCCCATCACTGTGTAAGTCGGCGGCAGTCACAGCTCTCCGCCCAACAGCCAACCAAAGGCCCCTCAAGGGACTCTTGGGGCAGAGTCATGGCTTGAGAGGGTGATCATGAGCCATGGGTAGAACAGACCAGGTTGGGCCCCATCCATTTTGTCTCTCAATCCTGTAGCACCCCCTACACGTGAGGACTCGCTCAGGGAAGCTGAGGTCTGCACCGAGGGTCACCACTGGTCCGTGACAAGCCAGAGTTTGGACACGGGCCACACACTTCCCTGAGTGAAGGGAACACAAGCCAACATGACCACCAGATCTCGGAGCCCTGTCCCAGGAGAACAGGACTTCTAACCCCCTCGACTCAGGACTAAAGAAATCATTGCAAAGACCATACAACCTAATTATTTTACTCCTGAGGCTCTGACCTACAAAAATGGGGTTTGGTTATAAATATAAGCTCCATCAAAATAGCTCTGGGTTGTTAAAACATTCAAATTAATTAAAACGGAAGGGCGTTTTGTCTTCCCGACTTTGAAAGTTCTGAACACATACACACACACACACACACACGCTCTGTCACAAACAAAACCAACTATCCCCCACGGACTAAATATTTAGCAAGAGATAAATGAAAAATGAAACCAACCTCATGATTATATACGACAAAGTGTAGTGAGTTGGTTCAGCTGAAAAGGGTTTAAATTCCCATGATAGGATTGGCCGGAGATTGTGTAATGTCATCTTAAAAGTGCAAGCTTCAGCTGGAACATCTAGAGGATGGGCAGGAAACAAACACCATCATTTGGAATCTAAGGTTGTGTCTTGGCCATTGCTCAATCTGTCTCTTAGGATCGGGAGCCCATGTCCTTGGTAGAGATCTCAGGAGCACTGGCATCTTGGAGACAGGAAGGAAAAATTTCTATCGAACATAAGAAATGAGCTTATTCAATTAATTAATGAGCATCAAATTGTCAGAGCAGGCAAACAGGGACTCAGCACCGTGTGCATAGTATTTGGCTTCACCCCATTCTCATGGATTCTGGGGACTACTGGAGGAACCAAGTCTAGGTCCTTCTAGATCGTTCCCAACTCCTAACTCTACCTCATTTCCCCCTGAGCAGCTCAGCCTACTGCACACTTTGCCTCCTCTGAATCCTGGCTGCACTTAGAGAGCAGGAAGGGATAATGTGTGTGAGATGCCCCTTCCAGGCGTTTAAACCCCTCAATTCTACTAAAGTAAGTGCTATCAAGAGACCCACTTTACAGGCCATGAAACTGAGAAGCTGAGTTCTGCAGTGCCATGAAGCTGGGGTTTAGAGGAAGGGGAAAAAGAGGGAAAGGACAGTGATGTCTGTGTTCCTTAGACTTGGGCTCTAAAGTCACACCTGTCGATCCTGCCTTAGAAAGTTCAAATGCTTAAGAACATTTAAATGTTAAGACCTGATTGGCTTCTGGGTTGCCACCTCTTTGTCCCTGGATGTGTGTCCCAAGACCAGACACATATTTAATGCTTAGTGAACTTCTGTGGACATATATCAGCAGGAGATTTGATTGCAAAAATTATTTTCCCTTATCTGATACCAGATACCAGCTGAGAAAATGCAAATTAAAGAGAAATTATTTCCCGATCACTTTTGTTTGGCATTGTCTGTGTCTCCTTACGCTTCCATTAGTGAGAATATTAAGAGTTGAATGTTTTCGGAAGGACTTAAATATTATGTCTAGTGTTAGTTTCTTCTAAAGCTCTGTGAGACAAATGTGAAAACCAGAATTTTTATAAAAGTATTTAATTGAGGATTCAAACAAAAAATGGGTAACAGATCTGAGATTGGATATCTCCCCTATTTTAATCTTCTGGGTGGTGGTCCCCACCCCTCCGATTGACCCTTGTACAAAATTTAGTCCAGCCAAGAAAATCTCTTACCTGCAAAAACACATGAAACCCTCAGCAAAAGGCTGATGAACACTAGGAAGAAGAAAATCAAGTTAGACTAACAAGACTCTCCCTTGGGGTTCCATTTAGAATTGTTGCTCTGGGGCCTGACATTGGTTCACACACACACACTATAGGATCCCGATTGTCTTGTGCTAAGAAAGAGCTCAGCTAAATGGTCCTCAGTGAGGTCACATCGGACCCGGGGCCCATGGGCTAAGGATTTCATTGCGAGTGGTAAGGTCCTCTGAGGAGCTGAGACTTACAGCAGGCCTGGGTTCTGAGAAGAGTGTTCTGAGAAGCAGTTATTTGGAAAAAATTCTCAGGAAAGGGACAAAGATGTTGCTAATTAATTAACTTTCCAAGTAATGGTATTTCATGGGTGGTGGGAGAACAGTGTTGGCGATGGGAAATAGGGGTGCTCATTTGTTTCTTTCGGGATGTCACAATGACTTTTTTTTGGGGGGGGATATTGGCATTTTAGCATTGCTAGAACATGGCACACTCCAGTGCCTATTCGGACCTCTGAAGGGCCCCTGATGACAAACTCTGACACAGAGGGCAGTGGTAACCAAAGTAGAATCTGAAGAAAAGCGGAGAACAGGCACAAACATTCCAATCCTAAAGAAATGGAGAAACCAAAGTGCAGGGAACCTTTCTAGACTGGTGACATGATAGGAGATAAGGGGGTTGGCTACTTGTCAAATCTAGGGGTAGAGGGATAACCCCCACTGTGGGGCTACTAAGAAGACTTCTTTTCAAATCACACGCAAGGACGGTTCCGTCACTGGGAAGCCTGCTATTCCTGTTTGTTTTCCTAAGATGAACAGCAGGGCAGAGACCTGGCAAAGCACCAGCATGGGCTTCCCGTTTCCCTCCCCTGGGCTCCTGACATTGGGGGGCTGATTCTGGGCGCTCTGGTCAGGAACATCCATGTGCTGCTCCCGAGGAGGGTCTGGTGAGGGCCTTCTGGGGCTTGGCCCTGAAGAACTATGATTAAAAAGTAACACTCACCCAGGCCAGACAAAGTATGAAGTGTAGTTGCTGGGGCATTCTGGCTCCAAAGCATCTTTGTTATTTGGTGAGTCCTTTATTTACTCTCACATCTGAAAGGAAATCAATGTCAGGTGAGCAAAGTTCTGGAGAGTGTAACTGAACAGTGAGCAGCAAACAAGGCTGAGATGAGGTCAGGGGGATCAAAGTTGGCCTCCTGGGAGCAACCCTGTTGGGGGCAGCCTTATCTCAGCTCTGGGAGCAATTCTCTACTGTCAGGGAACATTCTAAAATGTAAGTTGCAAACAGGTCACGGAGTCTTCTGACTCTGACGTTTTGAACATGTTAAAACAGGAAACCGAAGCATCTTCCTGCTTCAGAAAACAACTTTCATCCTCCCTTGCGAGTGCTCCACAATACAGAAGGTCTTCGAATTACATGGCTTTGTTCATCGAGGTCTCATTCTGATGTTTATAAGATATAAACATTCTGGTGGATGTTGAGTAAAAGGCTGTGGCTGGAGGACCCGTTTCTTTCTATAGCCTTGAGCTCGAAGTAGCTGTTTCCTACGCAAATCAAAACCACAATGAGATGCGGCCTCTGGTCAAGAAGCCCAGAAACAGCAAGCCTTGTGTGCTGTTGCTGGTGGCAGGCAGACTTCCTCTGCCGCTAAGGAAACAGTATCATGGTTTCACAGAATATTACAAATAGATCGAGCAACTCTACTCCTCCTAGGTAACTAGCCCAAGAATACAGAACACTAATTAGAAGGGGTATCTGCACTTCTCTGTTCTTGCAGGACTATTTCCAACAGGCAAGTTCTGGAAACAACTTAAGTGCCCGACAACACATGAGTGGCTTAAAAAGATGTGTTATGTAGACAGGGTGGAATATTACTCAGCTATAAAAAAGACAAAAATCTTGCCATCTGCAATAAGGTGGATACAACTGGAGGGGATGTTGTTGAATGAAAAAAGTTAGATGGCTTCAGTCATATGTGGGATGTAAGAGGACAGACAAACCCAAATCAAAACGTTCCTTGTAATCTGAGTGGAGAGCTGAGGCTACCAGAGGCAGAGGGGAATCAGGGAGAAGGGAGCCCAGGGACTAAGAGAGGATTACTGAGGCTTTGGTGGTGGGTGTGCAGTGGTAACATACACCCTAAAACATATATTGCTTCAAAACAGCAACAACAAAGTCTGAGTTTCCAAAAAACTGACAACATTGAGTGAGGATGTACGACATACACATAAGCCAACCAATTATGTATTTTTATTTCCCCTATTTTTACAGAGATAGTATCGACTTTCCCTGTCCTGACCTTGCTTTTCATTCAAAAGTATATTTGATACATCCCTCGACAGCAGCATCACAGAGAATTCCCTGCCTTTTTTTTTTTTTTAAAGTCTACTTCATGGATAATATCATCATTTATATAATCACTCCCTACATGGACAGTTGAGTCGCTTCCAGCCTTCTCGGCAATAAATTATCTTGGGTACACATCATTGTGCACCTGTGCAGGTGTAAGCACAAGGCAGATTTTTCAGAAGTAGAACTTGGGGGCAGAGGGCAGACCAAGCAGGGTCATGGTGGGACAAGCACATTCAGGTTAGGACACCTTGAAGACAACTACTCACAAAGGTGTGAGCAGAATGGTGGCAAACCCCTGGGGAGCAGCGCAGCCAGCTGACAACAGGGGGTTGCTCCACCTGGGACTTGAGGTGGGGGGAAGGTGCCACACTGGACTCTGGCGAGAACCCTGTGTGAGGAGCCAGCCCGCGGCGACTGTGCAGGAGGGGGGCTCAGGGGCAAATAGGTGTCCCCGTCTTTTCCCCTGCTCTTGGTAGGGGCCGTCTGTTGGCCGAACTCAACCAGACCCACACGTCAGGACCCCAGAGGGATCGTGGTCTGGGGGGCGGGAAGAGGGACGGGTAGACAGAAGACACCTGTCCCCAGGGGCCATGTGCCATTTTCATGGAAACCACACCCGGCTGACAAAGGCCTGTCCACCCCATCACCTCTTCAGAGACCAATTCTTAAACTTTTAAAAATCAAATTCATGCAAACTGGCATCAACTTCACAAAGAAACCCATCAGTTCACACACTGCTGTCCTCACGCACTAGGCCCTGGCATTTCTCTTCTCCCGAGACAGAGCAGGCTGGCACCTCGCGAGCGGCAGCTCCCTCTGGCTCATTGCTGCCTCTGCCTCTGGCTTTTTTTCTCACTGGCTTGGGGCAACCTTTAGGTGTGCGGGGGTGGCCCTCTGTGCAGTGACCCCATCTCATGTTTCTCTTGCCCTTTGGCCCTTGATTTTCTTTTCTTTTTAATAAAATAATAGTTTGTTTTACATCACTTTGTGCCTTTTCCATCTCAGCTGCGATCCCCGTGGGCTTCTCATCACCATCACCAAATCGCCCGTGTGCCATCACCATAGTCCAGTGCACTCCCTCCCCCCACCCCCACCGTTTTTGATCCCATTCCCCACGCCAAACCCTCGATTTTCTTAGAATGTTTCTGAGCTGTTCCTGGCCTGCTGTTCCTTCCTTTCAACAGATCTGCCTGTTCTACTTCCCACTCTGTCTCTGGTGACTCCTCCCCCCGCCCCTCCCATTACACCCCAGCTCTTGTCTGCAAAATTAATAAAACGAAAATCTTAAAAGAAAATCCTCCTAGCTGTCATAGAGCTGTTCCCATCTAGGTGTTCTAGAGGAATCTGAGCAGCCACGTCACAACTGCCATGCCAGCTGCAGGTTCCACCACTCCTGGGCTGTCCAGGTATCTCAACCCCAGCTTAGCCCACGGTACCGCGAGTCCATCTAGAAACATCTATGAGATATCTTAGAGAGACGGCTGTCCTCTCCCGCTGTTACTCTTGCTGGAGGCTTGCGAATCTGTGGGCATTCCCTGGATGCTGGGCACACGGGCTGCAGAGAGCCACATGCTGTGAGGTTGTGTGGGGTGCTCCCTTACTCTTCCACCCCGTGGCACTGGTTCTTCTGCTCCCTGCCCCCTGCCCCCACAAGATAGCAGGACATCTTCTAAGAGTATTTCGGTACATTTCAGGTACAGAACATTTAGCCCTTTCGGCAGTGGGGAGCACAGAGACCCAATTACAAGCTCACTGGCACACACATGCACGCCCACACACACACAAAGTCCTGCTCTGCTCAGGGATGACTCCTCCCCTGTCCCTGCCACTGCACTTCCAACCAGATGTCTGATACCTACCTAGCTGGTTGCTGGGAAAACCTAATTTCCTCTCTTGGCAGCCTGCCTGCAATAGTTCAGGTAGCTCCTTAGAATTTCCCTATTACAAACAGGCCAGTCTCCCTGCAGCAAAAGCCCAGGGCCGCTCACCTCTGAGTGGGGTCAGCAACGGAGCCCTGGGGCCCTGCGCCTGGGAGGGTCCCGCCTTGCTCGGCTTACTGCTCTCCTGGGGCCATCCTGAAATCCTTACTCATTTTTGTCCTTGAACTTAATGAACTGTGATGGGGCGACACGACACCCTTCCGTGCCGAGTCTCGCCACTCTGGGTCTTGCTCTCTTGCCTGCAGCCTGCATCCGGTCCTGCCTGGCCTCATTCTCTTCCCCGCCATGATTGCTGATGCTCTTTTATGGGCAGCAGTGGGTCCCGGTGCACAGGGTGGAGTGTCCCTTGGCACCCTGATGCCCCTCTTGCGTCTGAGCGGGGAGGTCTGGAGCTGGGCAAGGCGGAAACTGTCCCTGGCATGCTCTGGCAGTGCCCTGACGCACCAAGGGTGCAGGTGGAGGTCAGCCTTGACCCTAGCACGATCAGGAGCAGCGGCTTAGAGACCTTGGGTGTTGCCAATGTGTTGTGGATCGGGGTGGCGGGCCCTTGAGAAGGGGTGACTAAGAGCGGGATCCCCCAGAGCCTTCCAGCAGAAGCAGGGTTCTGGGGTCCTTCAAGCCCAAGTGCATGCATGCTTAAAGTTCCCAGGGGGAGGGCTCCCAGAAATGTGGGGAGCTGTTCTGGTCTTGAAAATATCCCTTCCCCTGAGGGAGCCCTCCTGGGCTGACTCTTCCTCCTGGCAACCTTCCTGAGCCTGGCTTGAGTCCTCCTGCTGGATCCTTCCTGGCACTCTCCAGAAATGGGCTCTGAAAGGCCAGAGGCATGATCTGGTGATTCGCATGTCTCTGCTTCAATCTGGTTTTGCACAGTCTACACAGAATGCTAAAATTCATGCTAATCAGTGAAAACTTTATTTTTTGATTTAAAATGACATTGAAGAGCAAGAGAAAACATGGCAAGTTGAGAGAGTGATTGTGAAAGAAAAGAAAGTGTTCTGTTCTCCTTGTGCTGAAGCTGCCTTTATTTTGCCCTGGGCCTTGCTGCTCTCCCTCTGAGCCACTTTCATTTATTCTTCCCTGAATTGAATGTGTCTGGTCTCACTCACTGAAGGAACAAAAAGTCCTCAGGGAAAAGGACCTCCAAGCTCTGCCCTAGTTCAGATGTTAAATTATCATTCTGTAAACCGCCCAAAGTACAGAATGCAATTTTCATTCTTACGTTTGAACATCACTGAACTCAGAATGCCTAGCACAGAGATAGGATGTAGACTGACATTTCAGTTTTGATGAACATTTTTAAAAAGATTTATTTATGCATGCATGCGAGAACTGGGGTACAGGCCAGGGGTATAGGGGGTGAGAGGATTCACCAGAGACTGAGTAGGGAGCAGAATAGGCAGATGGACTGAAATACACTGCTGAGGGGAGCAGTGGGGAGGCAGGAGAGGTCTGCTGTGCCTTGTGGGTCAGCTTCCTGGACAGGGATCGAACTTGTGTTGCAGTAGCTGCTTGACAGCTTCATGGTGCTGTGCCCTAACCCGTTGTGCCACTAGGGAGGGCCCCATAGACATTTTTAAGGATCAATCAATAATGAGAATATCTATGCTGTTGACTCTTTGGTAGTTTGAAATTTTAGAAATCTAACAGGAAAATGAGTCTAATATGGGCCTCTCAGGTGGAGCAAGGGGTTAAGTCTCAGCACTATGAAGCTATCCACAGCCACAGCAGCATGAGTTCAATCCCCCCTACCCCAGGGAGTGACCCACATGGCGCAGCAGACCCCTCCTGTCTCCCCACAGCTCCCCTCAGCAGTGTATTTCAGTAGATCTGCCTGTTCTACTCCCCACTCTGTCTCTGGTCAATCCTCTTATTCTCCTATGCCTCTGGCTTGAACCCCAGCTCTTGTATGCTTAAAATAAACTAAAAAAGAAAATGAGTCAAATATGACTGTGCTTGCTGATGGGAGGGGGAGAATACACACTTCAGTTTCACTTTCAGGTACAATTTCTGGACAGGGTTCTTTTTCTATTTTTTTTAGACAAATCATTGTCAAAAGTCAGGAAACAAATCTCAGGCTAATTTTAACTTTTAACATGAGAAACTTCAGAGGAAATATAAGTAAGAATATGAGTTTGCATGATTTAAAATGGAAAACAAAACCTGCCAACTACAGCTTTCTAAGTTCAAGTTCTTTCTGAGAGAGGAGATGGAGCTGAAGCAAGCCCATTAGCTAAGCACATGTTCGTGCTTCCTTCTCAAAATCTTTTACTGAGGAAATGTTGGTTCATTTTACATATCGTAGGGGTACTGGCTCAACCCCCCACATATGCATGTTATCATACTACCAAAGCCCCAATAATCCCTCACCCTGTCCTTGTCCCAAAATCAAAGCCCCAGAATTGATGCTGGTTTGGCCTCTGGACCAACCCTGAATCGGAGGTTGGGGGGAAGTGAAGGAGTAGCACGAGGGTGCTTAGAAGCCCTGTGAAGCCTGGGACAGGTGGAGGCTGGTGGGTCTGCCCCTCGGGGTCAGTTAGCCTGATGGTGGGAGTGGGGTGGAGTAGGGAGGCCCTGGAGGACTCCCAGGGTCCCTGGGCCTGCACCTGCCACTCAACCGGCTAACAGTCAGGGCTGTCGCTACACTAAGGTCCAAAACCTCCTGCCAACCCAAAACAAGGAAATCGAACAAATATTAAAAGAACATAGAATCCTCAGTTCCCTTTCCTCCATCACTGGCCACAAAGGCCTGCTTATGGCTGGAACTGGTCCCTGATATCAGCAGTTGTTTTGCTGGGGTGGAAGCAGGAGCAAGGATGGGAACCCAGTTTCTGTTTCCCTCCTGACCCTGGGGGTGGGCCCACTCCGTGGTGGTCACCAGGCCGCCTGGGGTCTCCCCCTTCGCCTTCTTAGGGAAGGGTCTGGAAGGACGCAGGACACTCCAGCCCTGCCAGCCCTCCTGTCAGTGACCGCTGGGGGTGGGGGTGGGGGGCTGTTGTGGTGGGGGGAAGGCTGGTGAACCTGGGAGGTCACTGAACACCCACGGAGACCCAACCCTGCCGGGAGGGGGCTCCAGTTTTGCCAAACGTAGATCTTTAGAAATCTGACCCTAGCACCTCACGAGAGCTCCCATGTGCAGCAGCGACGAAACTCCAGGCGTTTTGGGGACGAGGGTGGGTGCAGGGCTTGGCGCCCAGCAGGGGGACCTCGGGCCAGGCGCTGACCACAGCACCCCGGGCAGGGCCAGGCGCGGGGACAGCTGGCCAACGCCCTTCAACGACCCCGCGGGGATGGGGGGGCAGGCGCGCGGCCCCGCGAGCGGTGGGGGCGCGCGGGGCAGGAGAGTTCCGGGAAGCGGCGGCAGGCACCCCCCTACGCCCCCACCTCCCCATCCCCCCCACCCCCGGCCTCGCGGCCGCGCTTACCTTGGCAATCTCGCCTCGCCGCTTCGCTCCGGGGTGCTCCGGGCTCCGGGGCCCCTCCGCGCCGCCATTCGCGGGTCGTAGCCAGGGTGCCGGCGGTGGCGGTCACCCCGCGGGTGGCGGACAGCCCGCGGGGCCCGCAGGGTCCGGGGCGCGCCCGGCTGCTCGCAGGATCCTCTCTCCGCGGAGCGGCGGAGTGTGGCCGGCTGGAGCCCAGGCTGAGCGCAAACCCTGTTTGCACCCCGCGGGCCGGCCGGGGCGGGCCCCGGGAGCAGGGGGCGGGCTCGGGGGTGCCGTGGGCGGGCTCGGGGCGGGGCCGGGGCGGGCTGAGGGGCCCCGGCGCTTGTCATTCGCTGACGTTCATCCAGCCCCGCTGACCGCGCTCCGCCGGGTGGTGTCAGACGGGAAAGGATGAGGGGGTGGCTGCTTTGTTTACTGCAGGCTCTCGGGGCTAGGAGAGTGGGCATTTCGGTGCTCAGGGAAAATGCTGAATGAATGAATAAACGGTGAGAGGATTCTCTCCCTGTCTCGTTCTATACGGTGCCTATAATCTGCTAGTTTAGATGAAATGGACCAATTTCTTGAAAGACACAACCTACCAAAACTTACGCAAGAAAAGACAGATATCTGGAATCATCCTATTTCAATTACAGATGTTGAATCAAGAATTGAGAACCTTCCAAAAAGAAAGGAAAATGTCCAGATGGTTTCACTTGGTATTTTACCAAATATTTTGGTAAAATACTCTATCATACTCTATCACATCTAAAGGCACGGGAATGCAAATCCCCGATAATCTTCAGGGGGTCACAGCCCATTAACCTCTTGGCTTTAGGATTTCTGATATGGCAAACAGAAAGACAATAATTCTCTACAATGTTTTCCAGATAATTGACGTAGAAGGGATACTTCCTAATTCATTCTCTGAAGCCAGATTATCCTAACACCAAAACCAGACAGAGACAACACAAGAAAGGGAAAGTACAGACCAATATTCCTCATGATCACAGGAGCGCAAATCCTCGGAAACATTAGCAAGTAAAAGCAACCACGTATAAAAGCTATGGTCTACAACCAAGTGAGCTTTATTTTCATATTGCAAAACTCATTCAACCTTTAAGAATCAGCCCGCATACTCTATCATATCTAAAGGCACTGGAATGCGAATCTCCGACAATCCTCAGGGGGTCACAGTCCATTAACCTCTTGGCTTTAGGATTTCTGACCTGGCAAACAGAAAGACAATAAATGTGTGTTGTTTTAATCCACAAAGATTGTGATAATTTCGAATAGCTAAAGCAAGTAACTAGGCGTGGCAGACGGCTCCTGACCCGCCAGCTCCGCTGCTCCCCTCAGCAGTGTACTTCGTCCATCTGCCTGTTCTGCTCCCCACTCTGTCTCTGGTGAATCCTCTCACCACCTGCATCTCTGGCCTGTACCCCAGTTCTGTATGAATAAATAAATTAATCTTTAAAAAACAAACAAACAAACAACAACAACAAAAACAAGTAACTAATACACAGAGAGGAATCCAGAGTAAACACAGAAGGTTGGAAAAGAGAAAAAGCAATCTGGAATTTTTGTTGTGAGTATGAACAGTGAAATAGGGTGGGTGCCATAGGGGACTGTGGATTCCCAGCCTGCCTTGTTCTTGGGATGTTGCTTGGTGTCCGAAGTTGCAGCTGGTTAAGCTAAACGTAGAGTCAGGCAGGGAGCCTCTCACCAGGACGAAAGTCTTGGTATGAGGAGATCTGCTAAAAGCTGCAGGCAGACATGGCCAGCTGAGCATGATCAGCCAGGCTACCTTGACAGGAAGTTAAGTGTGAACAGGGACTAGAGATAAGATGTTGTGGTAAGTGGGATCAATGTCTCCCCCCCTCCCCCCACTATTCTGTATCCCCAGTCCACATCCCCACCAGCACCTTCCTCCACGCGTTCTTCTGTGGACTTGCCCACAAGTAAATCTGACCCTCAAATAAATGAAATAAATGGGAGACTTGCCACAGTGGAAGGGGATGCTCCTCCAGAGATGTAGCCCCTCTAAGTGTCTCTCTCTACCTGGACTTTGAGTTGTTTTTGCTCCATCTCATGCCTCTCTAAGGTCGCCACGCCACAAGGCAACAGGGCTAAGAGACAGTCCCTTGATTCTTGTATTTCTCTTTCAAAATCCTTTTTCACAGCTTGTCCTTATTTTTAAAAATTGTGTCATTTTTATTGCTGTCACATTGGTCTATAACATTGTGACTTAAAGATAGTTTCACCCCTCTTCAGATGTAGGCTACCACACCATGCCCCCACAAAACCAAAGCCCCAATAGTCCTTCCTCACAGCTATTGGCCCCTCCTTTACCCCCACCCCTTCTTCCTCCAATTTTTATATGTTTAAATTAAGAGACTGTAGTTTTTAGAGCAGTTTTAAATGAATGGAATATACAGAGTTTCCATGTTAACTTTTCCTACTAATAATATCTTGTATTAGACATTGATAAAACCTATCTATATTATTGACATGTTAGCATTAACTGAGATCCATAGTTTAGATTAATGTCATTTGGTGTATAGTCTGAGAGTTTTGAGAAATGACTGACATACAGCCACCATCTCGGTAGTATACAGAACAGTTTCACTGCCTGAGAAATGCCCTGTGCTCCAACCTCCTGGCCCTCTCCCCTGGTCTCCCTCCCAGGGTCAACCACTGATCTTTTACTCCCTTCATAATTCTGATTTTTCCAGCATGACATGTTGGAATGATTCTGGACTAAGCGTGTTCAGACTGGCTTCCTTCAATTAGATGAAAAGTTTCATTTCAAGTTTCTCATTTCTCTTCCTCTCTGGTGACTCCTTTCTTTTTAGTGCTGAATAATATTTCATTGTATGGGTATGTAGACCTCAGGTTGCTTATCCAGTCACCAACTGAAAGACTTCTTGATTATTTCCAAGTTGTGGCATTTACAGACATTTGTGGGCAGGTTTTGTGTGAAATGTTTTCAACTCATTTGAGTAAATACCAGGGAGACAATCGCTGATCATAGTGTGACAGTGTATTTAGTTTTGCATGAAACTGTCTTCGAAAATTTTGCATTTCCTTCAATGGTGAGTGAGAGTTCTTGCTCCCCAAATGCAGCTTCACCTGCATTTGGTATTGTTAGTGTTTGGGATTTTAGCGGCTGTGGAGTAATAACTTGTTTTATAAGATGGGCATTTTTTTTATAGTTTATTTTTACATCATTTTGTACATTTTTTTTCTATCTCAATTGTAATCCCCATGGGTTTCCCATCACCAAGTCACCCGTGTGCCATCACCATAGTCCCGTGCACTTCTCTCCCCCCCCCCGTTTTTGATCCCATTCCCCACTCCACCCCCACAAAATGTCTCTGGTATATGGCTGTTCATTATTCTTGTTATTTTCTCGCCTGGTCCATTATACTCCTGCTATGAGTGAAACCATCTGGTATTTTTCTTTTTCTTTCTGGCTTATCTCACTAAGCATGATCTTTTCCAGCTCCAGAAAGGGCATTTTTAAGATGGGAAATTAAAAATCTTGACTATTCATAGTTTATGGACAATGACCATGTAGAAAGTGATAAGCTAATAAAAGGGAAGAGATGAGATAAAGTCTTTAAACTGGAAGGAGGGACTTTCCAGGAACACTGGGAAGTTTGGTCTCAGGTAGGTGCCATAATGGAAGAAAGGAAGGCAAAGAAGTGGATAGACTTGGAAGCAGAAGGTAAGAGAACATCTGAAGCTCTCTCTTTTGCAGAAGTTTTGTGACATAACTATAGGCTGATACAGAGGTGTCTTTAGAGAGCTGTGAAAAGGATGTTTGTGACGAAAGAACATTCTAAATGTGAAATACTCTTGGGTATCAAAAACTTCCTGACGAGAGGTGACTGTGAAGGCATTTTTTGTGGAGAGAGAATTGGCACTGTTTTGTCACTTCAGTTCATGAAACCCAAACCCTTACACTGTGCTACTCTTCTAGGCTGGTAGAGGAGAGGACATGCAGTTGGGAATTAGCGGAGCTGGATCTGGCGTCCACTCTGCCGTGAACACCTCGTTGGTCAACTGTATTTCTGAGGCCAAATACTCAGCTCTCGCTCCCTCTTTGCGGCCCTGGTTGAGGAGATTATTGTACTCACATAAGCCACAGATGCTGACTTAAACATGCTTATGTGGAGATCCAAGGAGCCAGTTCCTTTTTTGAGTTTCAGGTTGAGAAACCCCAAAGCAGATCTTGAACATACAACCTCTCTCTCTCTCTCCAGCTGTCCTCCTTAGTGCAGGCAGGTGGGGGAAAAGGGTAGGAGGGCCAGTTTCTTCAGCTCAGTTGCAAAGTGTCTCGCTAACAGCACATGGCATGGCAGCCTTGACAACTTCCTCTGCAGTAGACAGAGAGATTTCCTCAACTTGGGTACTACCTCTGATCTGTCGTTACCCATTTTCCTTTTTTTTTTTTGCCATGTTTAAAGCTTCACCCTCTAGGCTTAACTGTACCCATCCTGTCACATGGGGTGGTGTGATACAGAACCTACCTAGATCAACCCCCAAGTTTTCTTCAGAAATGGGTGCAATCAGAGCTTGAAAGAAAAGACAAAAGGAAGTGGAAGGTATTTGTGCTCTTTTTCATCAAGAATGTACTGACGGACCAATATTCCTAGAGTCTCTCAAGACTTTGTAGTGTGGGTATGAATTCATTTTGACATACATTCATGCATCTCCTCTGGTGCATTAATTACAGAAATACAGGTTATTACAGCCTCCCCCCCAAACCTCACTGTTTTCTCCAGGTACCTTGAGTCTCCCACTGGCCCATGGGCATCTTCTAGGTGCAGGGGGAGATGATGGAACCCCAGAAGAGCCTGCTTTTCTAGGAAGTAGCCCAAGGAACTTATAAAGGCTGTTCAGGGACCTGGACTTGATCCTGACGTGCTGACTGATTGTTAGGAAGTAGCTGTGTCTTTGGGCGTAGCAGTCCTCAAATGTCCCCGAATCTCACTCAGGGAGAATTCAATGTTCCCCAGAGGGAAAAACTGTAAGAAGCCCCAAGTTATTGCTGTGGAGCCCGCATAATTGATCGGTGCCCTTAATAGAAGAGAAAGAAACGTTCACCAGGAACCAAACTGTTGTGCACCTTGAGGGTGGATTTCCAGCCTCCAGAACTGTGAGAAACAAATTTCTACCATTCCAGTCACTGGCCTGTGGAATTTTGTCGGATCACCAGGAA